TGCTCGAAAACTCATGAAATGTGGTGCACATGTCAGTCGTGGTGAACAATTTCGTATTTTTTAGGGGTCCACTATGAACATGGCAAAATGGCACCTTTAGCCGATATGCATAAAAATCAGCACACGCATAGATCTTATCCTGACATACAAAAAATCCAGTGGGAGCCATATCCTAAACCTAACAGGAACTCGGCCATTTTGGATTTAGCGGTTAGATTTACTGAAGCAGTATAAATGAGTTGGTCATCCCAAAAAGGTGCCTAATGGCAAATAACAAGCTTAAACTGACTTGAGATAATACAGTCTAAGTAAATTCAGAAAGTTTGGGGAAACCAGCTACTTGTCTAATTAATTCATGTGTATGATGACAATTTGATGAATGTTTAAATTATTTATTATAGGAAGAATATGAAAAATGTCTTCTCATATGCTGCTAAAATGTGTTTTATTTTATTTATATGGCTGTGGGGATTAATGACAATAGAGATCAGTGGGGCCCCAAGGGCCTTCAGGGTACAACAGCTACTATAGCTGGAGATAATCCACAAATCACAAATTATAAGATACAAAAATAGACAAAGACAAAAAGCATGAATATAAATCTAATGAACAGTTCAATAATATTTAATTTACTTTTCAGAGCAACTATTGTGTTCTAAATTCTCTGCTGATTGCATCAATTTGCTCAGAAAGAGGAGCGTACTCCTTTGTTCTGCTATCTAAAAGCAGCAGGTAAAAGAAGCGACTGAATGTGTCAAAGAGAACTCAATAAATAATGGATGTCATGAAGCTTCTGTGGAAGCTGTCGGCTTTGAAATCCACTCCCCGGTTGAGTCACACTCCCAGTTCACTCCCTTCATTTTATATTTTAACAGGCCCTGTGCTGTATAACTGTCATCTCCAACACACACCCATATACCTCATCTCTGGCTGGGGCTGTCTGCCGCAGTTAGCGCTGGGGAGGTGCTGAGCCCAGAGCTACCAGGCAGGTGTTGTGTCCGTCTTAGGGGCTCACGTCTGCATACATCAGCTTCAATTTCACCCTGAGTTCTCCAGGCTTGAGAGCCTGGTTGACACTCAGAAAGGGAGCAGACAGCAGCACCAGCCACTAGGAAAAATAAACACCCTCTTTTGGACTAGGCACACAACGAAAATTGTAGGGTTTCTGAAAGACCTCAAAGGTTAACTGGTTTTCTTTTGTAGCAGTGAATTGATTTCTGAGCTCTTCAAATGACGCGATCTGTTCATGCTCATATACAGAGGGAGCAGGCTTTTAACTGTGGATGTCCCAAATGTCCAAAAGAAATCATTTTCCAGTGTTGCTAACACCAACACAAGAAAGGTGTCTTGAAATTAAATACCTCATTAAAGTAGGAGCAGACAAATTGATTTTATGGCCCCATGTGACTTTAATATAACTCATATAAACCCAGATGATCAAAATAACAATTTAAATATGTGTTCAATCTTTAATTTAAAAAATATATAAAATCAACCCCCCCCCCTCCTCACAGAAACTCTCAAATGCATGCTGTGCGCTCCACATGTCAGGCTCTTGCACAGATGGATCAAAGTCAGCAGGATAAATGGCTCTCTTCCCTTTGATAATAATTAATTACACACTCAAGCAAAAACATACCATAGCAAATGTGAGGGGATTATACCTCTCTTAATAAAACCCAGAGATATAGTATCATCATTTTCTTACCATCTATTTTACATTGTTTGTTATTTTTTTTAAAAACAGCAGAATTTCTTTTTACGTCAGATATACAGTCAGTAAATTAGTTATTTTAATGTGAAAAACTGAGCCCACTTAAATTTATATATAAGTGAGTGTTTTGTATGTGAAATCCATGGTGTATAACCATGGTGATGCAATGTGTGCTCATCAAAATGTATATGTTCTTCTTTACAAAATACCAGAGAGACAAGGAGACAGCAGAAAATATTCTCCATGTTTCTAATATGAGACTATTGTCCTTTAGCTATAATGTGAATCTTCAGGCTGTCAGACTGGAAAAGAAAGAACACTGGCTAAAGGCCACTTGTCTTTTCACTAAGCCCAGACCGTGTTTGGCCTGTCAGTCCTGGACAGCTCAACACAGACTCATATCTACCCACCTCTATCATGTAAAGGTGGATTTAAAAACACCTACATATTCATGGGTTTGGATTTTGAGGACTGTGGAGTCACTCCCAGATCTAAGCTTCCCCACTCTTGTTTTATACTTTGTTCTAACGGCACTATATGTAAGCCTTCACACAATGACCATTAAAAGGCAAGGATACATTTCCATCTCTATGACCATTAGGAGGTTGTAAACCTGCATGCCAATATGGGACGACCCATAAGCTGTTTCAGGTTACTACTACTCTCACGTTTGAATGGCAATGCTGATACCAGTAGCTGGTTAGCTTAGCTTAGCATAAAGACTTGAAACAGGAGGAAACATCTAGCCTCGGTCTGTCCAAAGGTAACTGTTTCTTGGCTGGGAGCAGTTACTTCCTGAAGTCTGGGCTGGTTGCCTGGAAACTGCTCACATGATAGACACATGGTACTCAATGAGACCACACTTCAGTTTTGGTACAGGCTTTTTGCTGGTTTCAAAACCAGTTAAAAACTTCTCGTAGTAGGTTTAGGTATGCATTACTTTTTTCTCTTTTTTTTTTTTTACTTTTTAAGTAAGGACCCCAACATTAATTAATTAATTAATTAGGCTACATTTAGGGCTGTCAGAAACATTCATGAAAATGTATCCTTAACCTAAATATCAGTAATATATAATAATAAATGTCATAAGTGAACAGGAATCAAATGTAATGCAGCAATTAAACTTCCACCGACTCTACCACCTCTGCGAGATCCCTCCGCCTAATTGACTGTAAGTGTGAGCCGTTGCACCTGTCTCAACGCTGCTTCTCCCTCCGCCGCTGCTGGCCGCATCGCCCCCTCCCGCAGAGCCGAGCGGAGCAGCAGCGTCTCTCCCCTCCAGCTCCAAGCTTTATGTCTGTGAGAGCTGCTCAGCGCCGCTGGGGATATTTTATCGATGCTCTCCACCTAATGTGACAATTTCATACAACTGCTTGAATTACCGGCTGAAGCAATGGGAGCCTTTGGAGTGATCATAGGGATTTTACAGTACGCGGGACTTTATGTTCAACTTAACGCGGCTCTCAGCGTCGGACAAGGAGAGGTGGATAATCACATCTCTGGAAATGGTAAGTTGTTTTATGCCTCTGTTTGTTGGTGGGAGCTTGACTGGAAGAAGAAGCTCCCAGTGTGATAATATTCACTCATGAGGAGGAGTGACTGGGTGGGGCTCAGTGGACACTGATTGTTCTTGATCTGGATGTGTTATTTTTTGTTGTTTTGTTTGTTTTTTAAGTTTATTCCTGTTATTAAGATTGATGTATTAAGTGTTATTGCAGTCTTACTGTCATCTGTTTAAATGCATAACGGTTGTGGGGATTAAACTAAACTTTTAAATATCATCTGTCTGCACAAAAGTGGTTGGATGTATAGTCCAAGTTGGTGGGGCATTTTGATCTGATTGACTGTGACAGATCACTTTTAATAAGTTATTAAGAGCTGGGCTGCACGAGCCTCATTCCTCCTCCACATTCAAAGAGATTTAGAATTAGTTTGAACACTATGGCTTAAATGTCAGCACAAAATATTAATGTTCCCATGGAAATAATACTATATCAGAAGAAACATATATATGCATACATATATACATATATATATATATATATATAGTGAGATCAAGATCAGGATGGTAAATAGCTCTTGGTTTACCTGTTTGAGTTGAGGAGGTTGTACCTGATGTTAGAATAAGCTATGTGTCAGCTACACTGATTTCCTGCCATGGCATTCATCCTGAGAAATGTAAAGTAAGAGAGATTTTTTTGGTATAATCCTAAATTAAAAGAAACCTGTTTGCCCCAGCTTTGCATACTGTACACATAAGATCACACTAGAAAGCTAGTCATATATAATTTATGTCTCTGATTTTAGTTAACTTTCAACCCAGCCACACCAGGGATTTTAACCACCAATATTTTCTGGTGCAAACTCTCTTCTGTGTTACCTGAAGCTCTCTGAATCCTATAATCTAATAATAGGAAAGATAAATGCTTTTCATTCATGATTTGCAGTAGTGACAGATAGTATAGACCGGCAGGCAGGAAACCTGAGGGAAGAGCAAGGGTGATAACATGCAACATAAGCCCTCCTCAAATGAAAATCATGATATATTGGAATTGTATGTGCCTTAGATGGCAAGGCTACAGGCATCTTGAAATACTATCTTTCACACTTAACACATTTTGTATTTTTAAGACACTTAGCAGCAGCACAAATGTTATCTATGTACAAATCTGGCAACCATTTTCTTGTTTAACAGATTAGTTGTTTGGTCTATAAAATGGTGAAAAATGTTGATCGCTGTTTCCCAAAGCCCAAGGTGACGTCCTCAAATGTCTTTTTTTATCCACAACTCAAAAATATTAAATTTACTGTTTTAGAGGATGAAATAAACCAGAAAGTATTCACATCTGAAATCAAAAGATTTGGCCCTTTTTTCTGAATCTGGTTAATTTATTGATTACAACAAACCAATACATCGACTAATCGTAGCCACACGGTGCATGTTACCAGATTACAGCCCAGGTTGGGTTGACTTTGAAGATAATAGAAGCCAATGTGAAGCATAAAAACCAAAACAAGAAAAGCCTAGGGTTTGTACCTTCAGTGTGCCTGAGACAAATTACAGCTCCTGTAGGCACCCAAAGGAGAGAGGGGATCTGTGCTGCACTATGTGCTTTTTATGGAGGTGGGTGAAGCCTTGGGATGCCCTGTTACTGTACTGTAGCACCTTCAGCACATTTTATATTCACAGCTGGGTGCTTCTTGTTGGAACAGAAATCAGAGGGTCAGTTTATAATTGTTCAGTATTCTCTGGGGTTGGTACTTGACCAAATATTACTTGACCTGACTTCTTCTAGTGATTTGCTTACTATGATTAGTCAGATAAAACTGAAAAACTAGAGCCTGATCTTAATATGGGATTTTTCAGACCGTTACTGATTTTAGTGGAGAAATATTCACCAATCACCGATCTAGTGATTTTTTTGGCTTTATGTTGCTGTTTCTTAGACTTTTTCTGAAGCCACTTATTCTGACTCCAAATATTCTTTTGAGTATACAGTATTTTTTCCCACAGTTTTATGCTATAGGTGATGGCATCCTCAAATATGTTTTTCTATGACTAGGTATAGAGGTATATAGATGTTCAGACAGCTTCTAAAACAACCTAATTATTGTCCTTTAGTCCTTTAATTCCCAGTCAGTACTATGTTTTCAAATGTAGAATCCCTCCTTTTGCAATGAAATTCTCTTATTTTTATCAGTGTCTGCGCTTTTGAACATAATTGACATTTCTACCTTCTAGCAGCCTTACCTTTCTCCAGCAGACATAGATTTACTGTTATCTAATTAAACTGTGTGATAACCACTTCATCACAGTGTCTCACCAGTTGTCCCTTGAGCCCTCTCTGCTTAGCAAGTTAGCTTTAGCTCGATCACTATAAATGCAGAGTGCAGCGGTTCCAAATGGATTGACTGCCTTGGACAGGTTAGAAAATCAATTAGTAGCATTTCTCCCAAAGGGAGTTAATTAAAATTGGCTATAATCGTTGTGTTCTCTTTCCCACTCCATGTCACAGATTGGCCATAAAGAAGAAATGCCTTAGGGTGTGGAGCCTTAACAAGAATGAAAACTCCTCTGTTCAGGTTTTCAAAACTTGATCCAGAAAAACAAAATAAAAGCCTTCTATTTTCGCTTTTGAACCACTGCAGCTCCGGCACCAGAAAAGAGAGTTGTGGTATCCTTTGTGGTTAAGTAATCCTCTGGATATTTTATTTTTTTTTTTCTTCAATCGGCTCTTTGATAAATTGCCCAAGCAGAGGGGAGCTGAGCCGTCATGTAGAGCAGAGAGGCTGGATGCACTGTTCTGTAGAGTGCTTGTTAGATTCAGCCCTGTTTCATTTGTTTCAGATAAGTGCATCGGGCTGGGGCCCGGTCAGCCCCTGCACCCCAGTTTCCACTTCAATTGAAGTGTAGATTGAATCGCATACAGCGCAAAATTGTATGTTCTGTGTGACGACAAACAACCAGGTTATATGGATCAGTACCTCGACCTCATTGTGGGCCACATTTGTCAGACTCTCACCGGCCATTCGCTCTTGGGGGACGAGTCTCGGCAGTAGAGACAGAAGAAGCTAAGAGAGAGCTTTGTTTGTGCATGTCTTTTCGTGCTTTTAGATCTAGACGTATAAGGTGATGATGCCACATTCTGGACCCTTCTTTTCCAGTGCAAGACATGCCAACGTTAGTGCTCATTGGCAGCATTCATCCTGTTATCCATTGTGAGCGTACCACTTTCACAGTGTGGGGGCGTGTACAAATTCATTAGGCTTCCAAAGTGTCTGGGATCCTCTGCCAGTCCTCTGCTTGGTGTCCTCTTAATGAGGACGGCCAGCCCAGACAGTTTGCATTGGCTTTCAATTTAATGGAGCTCTGACTGTGCAAGGGGGGCAACAGATTGTACAGTCATGCTGTCACAATAGAGGGTGCTGGCGGAGGCTCGGTAGGAGAGAGCAGAAGAGTGAAAGGATGGTTGAAACAATGCTCACCTCGAGGGGATACTGGAAACAGGAGGGGATTTTAACATTTCGCAACTTGAAGGGACAGCGGCTTCCTCTGGTGACGTAGTTATCTCCGATGTGAAGTAGTTACACTTGTCATGACCCATGGTCGAAAAAATGTTCCATTGATCTTACTGTGGAATCAATAATAAAATGATAATTTCTTGAGACACTGAAATTTTGATTACCCGAAATGGGTCTTATTCATTGTTAATTATCTTGAAATGTCAACCTAGTTGTAACGTTTATCCAATTAAGAATTCAGACAAAACTCTAATATGTAAAAGAGCCGATTGCTCATTCTTGACTCTTTGCTAATAAAAAAGAACTAATAGCTATTAGGGCTGCAACTAATGATGTTTTCATTATTGATCTGCCGACTGTGTCCTCCAGTAATTAATTGATCATTTGGTCAATAAAATGCTTTAAAATGCACAGACATTTTCTCCAAGCCAAAAGTGTTGTTTCCAAATATCTTGTTTTGTCCAACCTTTCCAAAAGCCAAAGGTATTTAACTATCATAGAAGACAAAAAAAAATCCATCAAATATTCACATTTGAGAAGCCACCACAGAAAAGAAGATAGCAAGGTTTATGTCATAGGAGAAAAGTCGTAGAAAACTGAAATCAAAGGCACTAAAAAGGCAGGGAAGAAAGTGTTCTCAAACTGTGACACTTAGCAGTGATCCCTAAAAAAGGAGTTTTTGTGTGGGCCCTTATCACTTTTGGCTAAGACGGTCAGCTCTGCTCAGTTTAATGTGCACTGACGGTAAACTACTCTGACACAGATGTTATTTTAATCGAGAGGATGAAGAATATTCTGTACAGTACATTTGTGATGAGGTCCTGGTTGTAAAACCAACCAGTCACTCAGACTCACGTCTGTTCAAATATTTTAAGCTTACTTCCTAACCTTACAATCCTACTTTAAATTACAATACTAATTCAACCAAGGATAAACTGATTCAACTTTAATTCAACTCAAGTTTAGTTCTTTGAATCACTGCTGATTGGACAGACCATGTCTAAGAGAGAGCTAAGGAACTTGGTCTCTCAGCTGTCCCATCTCATGAAAACATACACACCATCACCTAAAGGTTCTCAAGGGCAACACTCGAACAGAACATAATGTTGTCGTTCCTCCCCGGGGAGTCCAGATGGAGTACATTGTGCATTCTTGAAAGTGGCCCAGAGCACCAGTATGTGTTGTCAACAACACGTGCTACTTTGTGTTGCCACACACTGGGAGGAAACGTAGAAATAGCCTCTGAGTCTTATGTCCCAAGGGCTATGAAAAAATTCACTCTACAGGCCCGGAGTATTGGTGGCAACAGGCAGACAGCTGCTTGCTTGATTACCGGATCCATTCTTATTTCATTATTTTACCTTCCACCTTGAATGGAGGCTGAAGGTCTCGCAGCAAGCAATTATTTCCCCAAGGAGGCTCCTGTCTGTTTGCCCCGCTGCTGACTCTGAACCAAATACAGCATTATTGACTCTGGCAAATTCCC